ATTTTTCCACCGTTTATATTGGGAGTGAGTGAAACTATCTAGATACATAAGAAGTAATAAATATTTTCTAATATTTAATACTCTTAGTAGGCATACTTTTTTTAATAATTAATTACTTTTGAGATAACTTAAAATACTGCTAAGTGATATAAAAATTGTATGAAAAAATTTTTAAACAAATACCAGAATCAGTACAATAATAGATAGAAACACTAAAAATGCTTTAGTCAAGTCATAAAAATTTGATGCAATATTAAAGTTTGTCTAAGCTTTGTCTAAGCCACGGATTTAATATAATATTTTTTGTATTGATACACTTTAAATGCCTGTATATCCATGTAAAGTAACTAACAGTTTTTGTTTAGTTTTTATAATTTGAGCCCTAGATTTAATATAATATTCTTAACATTGATGAGTTTAAAATACTTGTGTATTAATATTAAAAATTTAACAGTTTCCATTGGAAATGGTTCAATGGTAATGAAAGATGGTAATCGCAGTCCACCCAGCATCAGAGTTTGTGTAACAAACTTCAAACATGAAAGGATCATTTTTTAATCTTTCTTCGAAGTAACTTATTTATTCTAAAACGTTTTTTGATTAATTAAATTCTTTTTTCGAAGCAGCTTACTTAATTATATTATCAGCTGTAAATCATTATTGTTTGGCACAATTCTCCCAAATAGAAATGTGCCGTAGCTTGCCTGACTGCCTGTGCAGGTCCTGCACAGGCAAGATAGGCATTTTCTGCATATGTGAGTTCAGGCTGTGCACAGTTCCTGTACAGGTCCGGTGCTCTTGCCTGAACTGACATCAACTGTCTGCTACTACAGTAGTCTTAACCTTTTTTTCAATTAATTTAGCTAAAATGGAGCAAAACCATTATTCTCGACGAAAGACGTGAAATAAATATAGAATGCAAATTATTCGTAAAAGAAAAATTTCGGAAAAAAGAAAACCAAACGGATTTAACGGAAATAATGAAAAAAAGCTAAACTTACAGATAATATTAGTGAAAACTCAGCTGTACAGTTTGATAAGCAAGAAATTCAGAGCGATATTCAGCAAGAAATTTGTGAAGAATTAAACACAACTAATGACAGTGTAAGAAGAAAAAATTACAAACAAGTGTCAATATTGATGAAGTTCGTGATTTGTATGTACAACTTCGGAAATGGAAAAGAGACTGTTTTATTGCAAATAGCCACATGGATAAACTTTTAAAAATATTGCAATATCACATTTCCAGCTTACCTATTTCCTATAAAACTTTACTAAAATCAACTTTTCTGTTTAAAAACATTTTTTTATGTAACATAACTTTACTATTTAATTGTGTAAAAGTCAGTTCAGGACTAGATTATATTTGTCCAGGTTGCCTGAGCTGAGGCTGCCTGTGCAGGTCCTGTGCACATCGTTCTGTTGAAAAGTAGTGATTCCAGAATATTAAGTACGATATGAAAGAATAAAGTGTGTCATTTCATGCTTGAGAATTGATACTTTTTTGAAGTATCACTGATCCGTTACCTATATAGTCATTTAACAAAATGTAATAAATAAAATGTATTGAATAAATTTGACCTTTAATTTTATACTATGTCTATATTGTCACGAAAATTGAAGTAAATTATTTTCTTCTACGGAAATATGCAGCTATTGCCCTCAGTATAAGGTAAAAGACCCAGTTATGAGACACTGTCTCTATTTATGAGACACCACCACAAATCTTTAATTTTAAAAACATTCGTCCATATATATCTACGGTAGAAATATTTATTTTTATTTATAAGTATGGTACAATAAAACTGTAAGAATTAAATCTAACTTGCGAAGATTTTTATTTGAAAAAAAAAATAAAAAGTAAAAGTGCACCGCGTCTCTTCTATAAGTGGCTTCCATTCGTACCATAGTATAGGTTCACATGCCCATTATAAACTACCGTATTAGAGAATCAAAAGCATTCCAGATATAGTAAAAAACTAGTTGTTTGTAATATTACAATCCTAGAACGTAAATAAAAAAAAATATATTTAATTTTTTAATAATTTTCAAAAATATTCGAGTGTTTCATAATCTATACACCGTCGACAGGGTTGTCCCTATTTATGAGACAGTCTAGTGCGTGTTCCATAAACTAAGGCTAAGGTGTTTACTTGCATTGCACCGTTTTACGAGACAACAAGCATACGCGATTGTCAATAAGTTTTTCAGTTGTTTATCGTACTTAAACAATCACTTGTGAAAGTTTTTTTTTACTAATAAAGAAGAAATATTAAAGTTACTTTGTTGATGCGTGAAAATGCATGTAATTGAAACAACACTGATTTTGAGGTAAAATTGTTCTTCTAACCTATAAAGCGAAGCTTACGTAAAATAGTTATATTGAGAAATTTGTATTTTTTTCTTTAGATTGTTTGTATGATTCAGAAAAAGGGTATGATATAGAACAGATTCCTTTAAAATAAATCGAGAAAGTTGCACGATGAAAACCAGAAAAAAATTAGACAATCATGAAGTGTTGAAAAGTGAAATCTCAAAAGTGAACAAATCTGGTGTTGTCATCAAGAAAAATAACAAGAGAGGAAAAAAAAGGGAACCATTAAAAGAAAAAATTATTCTGAAATTAATTTAAAAAATGCTCTTAAAGCCTCTGATTCTGGGATGTCACTTCGAAAAGTTGCAAAAGCATTTGGCGTACCTGTGTCAACTTTATCAAGAAAGAAGCAAAATCCAAACCAAAGCAAGACTGGACCACCTCCTATTTTATCGGAAACAGAAGAAAAGAAAATAGTTGACTGGATTTTATACAGAGCAGCAAGAGGTTGTCCAGTAACAAAAAACGAACTCCTTGATAGCGTGCAAAAGTTTTTGATATCCCTTGACAGGGAGACTGTATTCATCAACAACCGACCTGGAAGAAGTTGGTACAACGGTTTTCGTAGGCGACATCCCAATTTGTCCATTAGGACTGTTCAAAACTTAAGTGCAGCAAGAGCTTCTGTGACTCAAGAGAGTTTGAAGGAATGGTTCCGAGAACAAGAGGATTACTTAAAAAGCAAAAATTTATTAAACATGTCACCAAGCAGTATATTTAATTGTGATGAGACGAGCATAATACTCAATCCAAGTGTCAACAAAGTATTGACTGAAAAAGGAGCTCGCTCAGTTTATAATATTGTTAGTTCAGAAAAAGAATGTTTGACAGTTCTCTTCATGTACAGTGCATCAGGTGTTCGAGCTCCACCAATGGTAATGTACTCGTATAAAGGAAGTATTCCCACGAAAGTTATCAAAAATACCCCTTCTGGATGGGGTCTCGGAATTTCAGATAACGGATGGATGACAACTGAATCTTTTTACGAGTACATTACTAATGTTTTCTACCCATGGCTTCTAGAAGAGAGCATTGAGTTTCCTGTAGTCATATATTTAGATGGGCACTCGTCTCACATGACACTTCCTTTAGTTTTTTTTTGTCGAGAAAACAAAATTGAGTTGATTGCGCTCCATCCCAATTCAACTCACATAACACAGCCATTAGACATTGCATACTTTCATCCACTAAAACAAACGTGGAAGAAATCTGTTCTTCTGTGGAAAGCTTCAAATGATGATAATGTTATCAACAAAGAGAATTTTTCAAAAGTTTTGAAATTCACACTTGATAATTTTAAAGAAGAAAGCAGTACTGTTATCAGTGGATTCAAAGCAGCAGGTCTCGTTCCATTTAATCCTCAGGCAATAGAATACGATGTTTTTTCTAAGAAGAAGAAAAAATCAGTCGATTGCATCAACGATAAACAAATCTCAAAATGTGTTCAGACAGAAAA